ACGCACATATTGTTTTCTTCCAGTGAGATATGACCCAAACCACTTTAATGATATATCGTTTGATCCATAAATAGATAGCTTCTTAAGTAAAAGCTCGTGATTTATCACGTCGAAAGCCTTTCTAAAATCGACAAAAGCTAAGCCAGTTACCATATTATTATCCATATTAAAGAGCAGTTCATCAGTTAATTTAATCAGTGCCGTTTCCGTGGAGTGATTAGGACGAAAAGCTGACTGGAGGTTGTATAGCAAATCATAGCTGTGCAGGTGTTTGCGGAGAGATGTTGCAACGTGTCGTTCAAGGATCTTAGAAAGAACGGGTAATACAGAAATTGGTCGATAGTTGCTTGTGTCTTCACGAGAGCCACTTTTAAATAAGGGAGTAATTTGAGCGGTTTTCCATGACGAAGGGAAACATCCAGTGGAGATGGAAAGATTCATAAGGCGACAAAGGGGGTGGACCAGAACAGATGCCGCTAACTTAAGCACCTTCGCACTAAGGCCGTCACATCCAATTGCCTTACTTGAAGGGATCTTTTTAATGAGATCAAGCATTTGCGTCTCAGTAATAGGTGGTATTTCAAAGGATTGATTGCCTGACTTTGACTTTACAAATTCGTAGAGAGCCAGATCATCAAAAACTAAGTCTGCGACGTGCTGACTGTCAGGGGTAATCTGTGAAGCAATGTTGATAAAAGCGTCATTCATATTTTCAGCAATTTCTTGTTTATCTGTTACGACGCCATTTACCGTAATTAATTGTCTGATAGAAATTGGGTCATTCTTAACACCGCTTAAAGTCTTAAGCGCCCTCCAGATTCCTTTGGGGTTCCCTTTGTTCTTATCTATTGTTTCCTGGAAGAAACATCGTTTTGCATACTTTATCAAATTTGACGTTTTGCATTTTGCACGAGTGTACAAAGACCAGTCGATTGAAAGGTTTGTACAACGGGCTGTTTTCAGCAGATCATCTCGTTGACGTATCAAATCCATAATTTCATCATTCATCCAAGGGGGCTGGTTTTGCCTCTTTACTCGCCTGTTTTTCCAGGGCAAATGCTGATCGAGAACCTCATTGAGCATACTCTCAAGGGCATTCAAAATATCGTCAATGTCTTCAAATACGAATGCAGTGTCCCAAGGGATACGTTCTAGTGATTGAAGGAGCTCATCTAAATTCAGTGGTCTATTTAACTTTGGTAGTTATAGTTTTAAAATAAAGCTTTTAAAATAAAGCTTTTAAAGCTCTGTAAGGGTTTAAATCAAACAGGCATAATTCCTGGCCAAAAAATGAATCAGGAATGGGTTTTAGAGGACTAAACATCATATTCTTTTCTATGCAGTCTTACCATTACAACTCGGAACTGGTCCTGTGAAACTCATGCTATCTGCATGATTTCTTGTACAATCTATAACCTATCAAGCTCACCATCATCATCACTAAAATCATTGCTTTGGGGGGATGGGGGTGGGGTTTGAGGTATGGTTCAAACATTCTACTCCCCAATGAAAGTGACGACATTTTGCTCCCCAATGAAAGTGATGCCTCTCCTACAGCCTTTAATTTCCAGGTGAAGTAGGATTACTGCTAGGCTGATGAGGTCACTTACTAATGGCCTCTCCTAAATTTTTGTGCCTGTAGCTTACCCACTGCACCCTTGTTCTTGAATCATCATTATCATCATTATCAACATATCGTTATTACTGAGGGGGGCTTTGGGATTGTCGGTTTTGTAGTTTTGACTGTTTTTTGGATCGGTTTTTGGGCCAAAAAGGTTCAGTTTTTCGGTTTTGATGTTCAGAGCGGTTTGCGGATTTTACGTGTTTTTGCATTCGGTTTTCGGTTTTCACGAAGACTCTGATGCGGTTTTCGGTTTTTCCTTTTTGACTCCTTTAAAGGTGAAAATGTAGCGGTTTTGTCAGGTTTACATGCGGTTTTCAGTTTTGCTGCCTTTTTTCGTCGGTTTTGGAGGTCTCTATCTCTGGTTTTGTGGTTTCCCAGGGGCTCCAAATGCCCCCCTCATTACTCATCACAGGTTTGATAGACAATTATAAAGTTAACAAAATAACTTATAGTCTCGAGTTATCTCTCCTTTGACTTGAAAGTTTTACCGACTCTTTTCCCTCCAGTTAATAACATTGCAAAGATCCAGTAAATGCAGTATTAGTCATTATGAAGTCAAAATCATTGGCATGAAATTAAATTTTATTAATCAATATTGTGATTAATGGCTTTCGTTGAAACTCTCGTCAGGAATCGTAAAACCAATGTACGCAAGGTAATATTTAGTGTAACCCTCCTCTTTCCCTTCCCCTTCCCCCACCCCTCCCCCTCCCCCTTAGAGAATATTGGACCGACAATAGAGCATTTTGATTGGTTAATTTTAGTTATTGGCCCTCTGACTGCCCGAGTCGTGTAATAACAAAACATTATGGGCTCAAACCATCTCTGCTTAACTTGAAAGTGACAGTCACTCCTTCCCCTCAAAATAATAACATTGCCCAGAAAAAAAAAAAACCGTCAAATCCTTGATTCTATCACTATCTCAGATTCTGTTTAATTCACACTTCACAGCCTCACATCAATAACCATATTCTCCACAGGCTGTAAGTAATAGCGGGACGGGGACGTACGACGTGTGACTCGGGGACGTGGGACACGGGGACGTGGGATACGACACCTGGGACACGGGGACGTGGAACACTGGGACGTGGGACTCGGGGACGTGGGACGCGAGGAAGTCGGGACTCGTTGACGCGCGGGGACTCAGGGACGTGATAAACAAACAACACCTGATTTTTGCGCTGAATCTGTAAAGCATAATTTTCGATGGCCTCGAGAAAGGTATTATATTACCGAAACAGGTCGACTGTTTCCCCTGAGACATACGTAATGTTAGCGACAAAAGTGATCGTTTTTGGTCACGTGACTAAAAAACGATGTTAACACAATAGGCAAACGCACGTGATGACATTCCTTCGCGCTTCTTTGTCCGCGCTTTTGTTGTCTGTTGTAGTTTATCTGCTTTCGTCTAGTAATACAACATCATCCAGCTAAAAGTATTTTATAACATTTCTTTCCGGAAATCGATGCAAACTAATTACAACAGACGAAACTGAGGTGTCTACCTTCGATGATCTGATTCGAATCGCAAGGAATAAATGAGAGTGTTTACAATTTATTCCAGAGAAAACAATGCGGATTCAGTACAAGGACAATAAGAATACTTTCGTCACGAAGTAATCACAACTTGCGTCTGTTGTAGTTAGTTCGCATCAGTCTTCAAGAAAAGAAGGTAACTTGTGAACACTCTAATTTACCGGTATTAGTTCTGCATCAGGATTAAATCGTAAACACTGGAGTTCAACTGAATCCGAAATTTTTCATCAGGAATAAATTGTGGACATTCTAATTTATACCTTACGACTCGCATCAGATCATCGAAGGTAGACACCTCAGTTTCGTCCGTTGTTACTAAATGCAACCGTTTCAAAGTCGCATAAAGCTCGTCATGGTTACGCACGTCTCCAAAAAAAATAGTCTAACCTGTTTCGGTAGTATAATACCTTTCTCAAGACCACCGAAAATTATACTTTACAAATCAGCGTAAAAATCAGGTGTTGTTTCTTTGTCACGTCCCCAAGTTCCACGTCCCAGAGTCCCACGTCCTCGAGTCCACTTCCTCGAATCCCACGTCCTCGAGTTCCACGTCTTACGTCCCCGTCCCACTTTTAGTCACAGCCTTCTCCAAACTCTTCTCTTTACATTTCCTGTGGTGCTTATAAGGAGAATTTGTTTATCAATCAGTTAGCTTGTTGGTGATCATTTACTTTATTCTCATGATCTTAATGAATGGTCCAGCTGTGTTACCGTCAGAAGAACTTAGATGTTGGTCACGCGTAGTGTTTAAAGGGTTAATCATCTTTATTATGTGTGTGATTTGAAAGATGCTGAGTGGTTCTCAGTAGCTTATACTGATCCAACAGAATGGAGTTAGCTTGGAAATGATAAATTATGTTCTTCCTTTTCTGCGAAGAAAATATTCCCCGCCACCACTTGCAGCCATTTGACTGCAGGGAAATGTAATATAATTCCAACCAGAGGACTGTAAAGGGAGCCTTCTAATATTATCTCGTGGTTTTGTATTTCTTTGCAAAGATCAAGAAAACGCAGTATTACTCAGTGAAAATGAAGTCAAAACAATTGAAGCAAAATTCAATTTCACTAATCATTACCGTGATTAACGGCTTTCTTTGAGACTACGATATCTTGTGAAAAATCGTAAAACCGATTTATGAAAGCTACTACTAAGCTTTAATATTTTTCGGGTAAAAATTACAGATAGTGAATAGACCAAAATAGTTACTGTTCTTTTTATAAGAAGACACTAAAGATTGTTCTGCGGATGTTGCAAATAGCTGAAAATTTTGTGCCAAAGATGAAATATTGTGGGTGCTACGTTGCAGATAGTGAAAACACGTTGACTGTTGTTGTGCGCCATGTTGCAGATAATAGGGCACATTGAGAAATGCAGCGTCAAAGATTGCGCAAGCACGTTGTTGATGTTGCTCCCATTTTTGTGGAGATATAAAGTGATTCGGTAATTCGAAATTGGACATACAGCTCAGCGAGGAATCCATATCTTTTTCACACAATATACTTAATTATTCNATTGCACAACAACAATGGCTCATCAGAGGGCCTCCCACGTTTCCTTCGAGAGGAAAAGTCACCAATTAGTTGCTTTGCTAAGTCAATGCGAAAGGATTTCAGGTTTCTCTTTCCATGATTGGGTGACTCCTGTTCCAAAATAAAACTATTGAAAATACTCCTGTCAATAAGATCAAACAAAATTCTAATCCACCATTTCTTTCCAGATACAGGAATGGTGTAGTAGGATTTCATCTGATCATTCTTGTCTACACCACCCATGTATGTGTTGTAGGAAGAGATAAGCTGGGGACAGGTAATTCGTTGAATTGTTCCATCTCTTTGTTTCCGGTTGACCTCTGGAAGGTTCTCTTGAGGTGCTTGTGTGTAAGTGCCTGCTGCATGCACTGCCTTCTTATCCATCCAGGTAATTGCAAGTACTGGACCTTTCATTTGCCAAAATACATCACCTCTCTTCATTGACTTTATGCGATCCTTGTCAAAGAGACATCGGGGAAATTCCTTACGCCCTGACCGCAAAGTCCCACAACACAGTGTTTTATTCTGATACAAATCTTCAATCAATCTGTACGAGGTAAAAAAGTTGTCACAAAAAATGGCATACCAGTGACCTTTTATGGTTTCACATAACTTAGTGACAACTGAGTAACCTAGTCCATGTTGAACTACTTGTTGTGTCTTCCCAGTGTAGATATCAAAGTCACACAAATATCCATTAGTGCTATCTGCCCTACACCACATTTTGATGCCACGTTTGATGGGCTTCATGGGCATGTATTGCTTGAGGGAAGTGCGACCTTTATATTTTATCATCGCTTCATCCACAGCTTGCTCACGGTGAGGGGCATAGTTTATTTGAAAATTTGTTTTCAAATCCTCAATAAATTCCCTAACTTTGAAGAGCTTGTCGAAGTTACTGTCTCCAGGCCTTGGCATTTTTGTGTTGTCACACAGATGAATATTGTTCCAAATGTCCAAAAATCTGTTTCGAGGCATGACCTTTGAGAATGCTGGAACACCCAAAACCCAGTCCGAAGACCAATAGTCCCGTAAACAAGGTAGTCTGTGGATACTCATTCCTATGAGAAGTCCAAAAAATGCCTTCAGCTCTTCCATAGACACTTGCTTCCAAGTGGAAGGATCTTTACCCTTAGATTGCAAAGTCTGGGAGGCATAGCGATTTGTTTCCCTCAATATATTTTGAAGGATCAGATTACTCACAAAAAGAAGAAAGAAATCAAGAGCCAAAGCGCCTACTGGTAAGATGGTATTTGGCCCTACTGCTTTTGAAAACCCAGGAATGTTTATTTCAGACCTGTCATCAGACCAACTAAATTCTTCCACACTTACATTGCTAGGTCTCCCTCTTACCACCTCCTCATCGAAATCGTCGGCTTCTTCAATTTGAACAGTTCGAAGATCTATTTCCTCTTCCTCCTCGTCGGGTAGAGCGACTGAGTCCACAGGCAAAATAAGATCAGGCTCCTCAAAATCCTCATCATCGAGCCATTCAACGTCTGAATTAACTCCTTCGTCGGGAATATCGAAGTCACCATCCAAATGTAAAAGCGCTTCTTCTACTGTATAGCTTCTACTATTCACAGACATATTTACACAGCCCTTCAATTTTCCCGGGAAATTTTCGTGCCAAAGGGACTCGAAAAAACTTGAAAAAATTCGGTGAAAACGCGTCCAATTCAAAACAAACTATAAAAATCCAAGATGGCGATTGTTTTTATTTGACAGAGGCTTGGAAACTAATAGTAGAGAGTCTGCTGATCAAATTTATGCAAGGTTCGGCATCATGGCAGATATATCTGCCATTGGGTCACAAAGGGTTAAGGGTCGAAATATTGTTTATTGGGTAGAGGACCTTCATACTCTTATTCGCCAGGGTGTTGAAGAGATGCGGAAAAAACCCTTTCCGCAGTTCTGTGATACCAAACATTTTTGGGAAGGCTGAGAGAGGCATAGGGAAAAAACAAAGAATCTTTTAATGTAATTCTCCCTGTGGTTAAGGACATAATTTTAGTGCCCTGCACAATTTCATTTTCAACGGCCCTCTTCTCGCGAATGATTTGCTGCATGATAAACATGGAATCGTATCCTTTCAAATTATGGAAAAACAATTACATGACATTCCTCATGCTCTTCATTAAAT